AAAACATATTTGAGATGAATATTTATCATTCAAAATAACTTTCTTTTAATGATTCCAACCAACCTCCTTGTAGTCCCGTGTTTAGAGAACTATACTTTTCCGCCAGCAGGGGGAACTGGAGAGTTCATCTTGATTCTCTTGATCCCTCACAAACAAAGGTGGTTTACCTGTGATTTAAAATATGAGGAAGTGCTAACATTTGATACAACCTGTTATTACTCATTGTGAGAAAAAGTCTCAGGCAAATCCAGGTTGTCCTTGAACTCGACAAACACGCTGTAACATGTTAATCTTTATTAAACTATGTTTTAGTCAGATGTGCCGTGGCTGCTTCACTTGAACTTTTACTGCTGATTTTTTCACATCAAGAAATTCACCAGGTGAGTAAACTCGACCAAACTAGATTTCGAAATATTATCAAATCATAAAAGCAATGTTAGATCGCTTGTACTGTTGACAGAGATGACATTAAACAGCATGATGTTCCAAAATATAAAGGCAAACAGGCAGTAAAACAAACGGACAATAAAAGCATACTGATAGAATAAAATATTAAAATGAAAAAGAATGTCTGAAGTACAGAAGTAAAACGAGGGACAGACTCTGCAAGTCTGATCTCTGGCAGGCTGTTCCACTGTCTGGGGGCTATGACAGCAAAAGCCATGTCCGCTTTAGTTTTCAGCCTGGACCCTGGAACAGCCAGTGGAGAACTGCCAGAGGATCTCAGACTGCGTCCTGGTTCATAAGGGGTTAAAAGCTCTAAAATATATGTAGGAGCCAGCCCATGTTGTGGTTTGAAAGTAATTAAAATAATCTTAAAATCAGTGAAGGGATGTAAGATTGGAGTGATATGGCACATTTGTTTTTTCTTGTTAAAGCCGGGCTGCTGCGTTTTGGATTGTTTGAATGTGTTTGATTTATTTTTTTACTGAGTCAGGTGTATAATGAATTACAGTCTTCAAGGCTGGAGGAAATAAAAGCGTGGATGAGTTTCTCCAGATCTTTTTGCGACATGAGTGATTTGACTTCCAAGACATCCAACAAACATGTGAATAATGTAGAGTATTGTGTGTGATCAGGTCTGAAACGAGGCGCCCTGTTAGGGTTTCAGTAATTATTTATGCTGTAAAGGTTATCAAAAATGAGGTGAGATAGTTTCTGTCAGTGCTGAAAATATAATTTGTTTCCTCTTGTGGGGTGTTATCAAGTTAAAAGCATCTGACCTAAACTAACACTTTAACCAGTAGTTTAAAAAGTAGTCATTTACATGTCCGGATTAAACATTTTATATCAACAAGTTAAACATTTTGTGAACTTCTTCCTAACAACAGCAACAGTCCTCTGCTCTAAAAGTGCCTCTTCCTGTTGGCTGCTAGAAGGGGACTTGTTTTCCATAGCCAATTGGTAGTCGCCATTAGCTGACACAGCCAATAGGAACAGAGTCCGAGTTTAATTACTCTGACTTACAGATTTTTAACCAATAAAAATAAACATATAATCACGGAGCTCATGTTCCACCCGACCCCCAACTCCACTCTCGTTTCACTTTGAATTCTTTTCGTGTCGCAGCAAGAAATTAATTGGGTGAATGAACTTGACGAAAACTAGATAAACAAGTATGAACAAGTAATAATAGAATAGCTGTATAGTTTAAAGGTTATCAGATAACATATTACTAAGATTACATTAATTTTATTGTCAAATCTCATCAACACCTACTCTAATGACCGAACTCTAATAAAAAATTCAGATAGTAGGCCTTTTAGGTCAACATTAACTGAAATCACAAAACGTCCTCCTGTAAGTCTGCTGTTAAGATCCTATCACAGTAACTGATCTAAAAACGGTGATCCATGAATACTTTTCCTGAAGTAACCTGCACCCCATGTGTTCAGCCCATTGATATGGTTTTTATTCCTCTTGAGGTGATGACCTATCAGTCAGATTTAAACTTAGCCTAAGGATTTACCAACAAATAAAAAAGGTTAACTTATGATCAGTAGGACTGATTAAACAACTAAGCAAGGTGATAGTTTCTGCAGTGATGAGAATGTAATTAGTTCCTCTTGTGGGGTGTTATCCAGTTCAAAGCATCTGACCTAAACTAGTCGAACAGCATTCTGTTCACTCACACAACACAGTGACGGATAAAGACTCTGAATGTGACAAACCTATCTTCAATCTAATGACTTCAGATTATTTTCGGATAGAATTGAAATGTTGAAGTCAGAAAGTATTGGATTGAACTACAGCCAAAAGGTCTTAGACTTAGAAACTTTATTTATCCCTGAGGGCAATTCGGTTCCAGAGTCCACCCAGACCATGTATACATTTACAAACAAACAACAGATGGAGTATGTCAGAGACAACAAACAAATCAGTACTTGACAAAGATGAGCGCTGACACCCTCGTGTGGTCTCTTTGGGCAATGACACCCTTTATTCTTAATGAACAAAATTGTAATGTCTTTGTAAATCAAAAGTGACTAATTTATATATTTAGTGACTTTTAATATCAACAATAGATTTGGAAATTGATATTTATCAGACGGAATAAATGTTTATTTCTCTTCTGAGTCTTTGTAACTTCATGGCTGTGGATGAAGATATTTAGTCTCTGTGATGTGAATTCTTCCCATGTGGCATAAATGGTGGCCCATGGTGTCCAGAGTTATCACTATAACTAAATGTCTTGCTGGAGTTATACGTGTGCTTTCAGCCACTATATAAGATCCCATAAGTGTTGTACTTTTCTTCAAGTTAAGGGAACTGAAGAGTTGATCTTGATTCCCCCTCACAAACAGATTCAGTTCATCAGTGTGTTAGACTAAGATAAAGTGCTCAGATCTTGCACTTTAATAAAACCAGTTACCAGGAAGGGGTGGGACTTGTGTTCCATAGCCAATCGGTAGTCGACATAACTGACACAGCCAATAAGAACAGAGTCCTAGTTCAGTTACTCTGACTGACACATTTTTAACCAATTACATTATACAAATAATCACGAGCTCATGTTCCACCCTCAACTCCACTCTCGTTTCACTTTAAATTGTTTTTGTGTCACAGCAAGAATTTCATCGGGTGAGTTACCAGAAAACTAGATACTCAAAAATGAAGAGGTAGCCTAATGTTACCTGTATAGTTTAAATGTTATCAGATAATGTCTTAATGATTATATACATTTAATTGTCAATTCTGAGTAAAAATACACCTGAGATGGATTAATCTTCAGATTCACACTCTGTGCTGCATTTATTATTCAGACAGGAAAATATTTGTGTGTGGTTTTCCGTAACCATAAAAATAAAGGACATAATGAAAAATCCATTATATGCGAGTTATTAAACACAACACTGCAACCTTACTCCAATGTACAGAGATAACCAACATAACTGATATGAACATGAGACACTGTATTCTTTACTGACCTAACATAGCGATGGCAAAAAATACTGTAAATATCAGTTCTCATAAAAATAACTTCCTTCATGTATTTATATGAACATAAATACAGAAGATGAATAGATACTGGGCAGCACTATTGAAGTTACAGTCACACCTGCATGCTAATGTTTATTAAAGGTACACTTGAGGAGCGCCTCTTTACTAGTCCCTCTGAATACCTGAGAAATTAACATTTTATATCAGTACACCATTGCCACACATTACATACAGTTGTTGCTTCTCGCCTGTAATCATTCGCTGTACTTTGCATTTGCTCATACAATCGGAACTATCCTGGCTAATGAGTATAAGCTTTCATTTCAAATGTCCACTCCTATATGAAATGAAAAGAAAACCTACAAACTCTATGAACACAGACATGTTCTAACTGTCCAAACGATGGAGAGCTAAATAACTTGAATCTTTTACAGAACTAAGGGACAGCTGACTGGCCAACAGCAATGCACAGTAGGCGCGACAGATAGACTAAGGCATATAAGAGTAATATAAAAGAACAAGTAGAAATGCATGAAAGGATATGCAATCTTCATAACAATCAGCGTGAATATTCAGCTATTTCTATAAGCTTAATGTAATTCATGCCCAGAACTAAGCGAGAACTAAGCAGAGGCTGTGAGACTCTTCACTTTTTCCCACTTGTCACTCAAATCTTCATTCATATCAAATCACATAATTCTTTAAAGTTGTTCATTTTGCAATAATTGACCTTTGCTTGTGTAACATTGCAGCACTTACTGTCCTGGGTTTGTTTGTGTAAGCATTATGTTACAGTTCATACCAAAGTACAAAGTAAGTAAAAGCAAACACACAGCTTTGATTTAGTTCAGTCAGTTTTTATTTAGTTTCAGGATTTGCACAATATAATTGTTGTTCTCTTTATCGGATCCTTACCTTTATTTATTCTTTTGTTCAGTTCCCCATGTGGTCCTGCAGCTAAAGGGGCTGGTTCAGCACTTCCTGGGTATTTATAAGATTGAAGATGTTATCACGGACATCATTGGGGCAAATCGACTGTAGTGTTTATCTTGAGTTATGTCACCTTTTTCTCATCCCACTGATGACTGTCTGTCTCTCTTAACCCTGCTCCTCCTCTCTCTCTCTTTTATTGTATTTAAGGAACATTTTTATTTTATAATATTAATTTTTAAATTCACAAACAGATAGTTTATTTTCCATGTGTTTTCATTGTTAATAAAATACATATTGATATATATCGAGTATCGCCATTCAGCTAAACAATATCAAGATATGAGTTTTGGTCCATATCGTCCAGCCCTATGCCTTAGTTTGATTTAGTTTTGAGGTAATTTACCTTTTTTCCTTTGAACTTTTGTTTTTATTAACTTAAATGAAGTCTGCTGAAATGCCTTCCTACCACCTTCCTAATCACTTGAGCTAAACTACTTTACAAGTATATGAATTCAGTGATATTACAGGAATTGCTATGAATGATGTCTGCACTCATTGATTTCTTTACTAATGAGTAATGTGCTACTGTACATGTTACCCTTTTAAATATTTTAAATCCTTTCTCTCTTTCCATTGGAATTAGTCTCTGATGACATCATGGCGACTGCAGCAGCAGGTGAGTCCAGTCAGACTCTGTTTTATCCTCTGTCTACATGTTTAAAGACTCCAAAAGAGATACTGAGACATTTAAGCAGGTCAGTGAGTCTTGGATTTAAGAAATAGTAACAGCCTTAACACTTTTTATTTTCTTGAGCAGATATATTTTATGCATCACTACATACAATATATCATTCTAAACACAGAGGGGTCTGGTGTATGTCCTTAACTTTATAAAGGATGAATGTGCACCTTTTTTGATCCAGTAGATGTCGTCCTTGAGCACCAGCATGAAACCAAAATCAACTAATGTTTGGCCAACCACTCTCCCCTTGCGTTAGCACATAGTTATCAAACTGTCAGATTGTCAAAGTCCCTGCTCCTCTCCGCTTACATCACCGCTCCCTCTCGCTCTGCCCGACCCTGAGCAGGTTAGATGACAGAGCAAGGTGCTCTAACTATGCGAGGTGTTGCATGTAATGTGGTAAAATATAGAAATGTATGCTCATTTAGATATAATAGTAATGTGACTGGGCTTAGACAGGCTACATAAACTTAATTGAAAGGCTCAAATATATTTTTCGGCTCCAGATGGATATGTATTTTTTTCTTCACATCGCGATGACGATGCTGTAACAATATATCGTGCAGCCCTATAGTGAATTAAATGCAGAGAAATATAATGGTGATTGAGTCTGTAGTAAAGGCTTTCTTCTCAGAAAAACATATCACATTCAAAATTCCCTCTTAAAATATCACAGTGCAGCATATAAGTGCAATTAGCCTTCTTTCATATTTTAGGACAAAATAAGTTTCTATGTCTACCTGCATTCCAAAACTAAAAGAGATTAATGTCAATAAATAATGAAAGCAATGTTTGCATATATGTAAGGCAGACATAGTTAGTATTTGTAAGTTTCTCTTTCTCTTAAGTAACTCTCTTCACGATGGTTTGACATCCTAATATATATAATAGGCCTATTTTTCATGTTTCATTCTGTTGACATATTTCACAACAGGAAGTTTTCCTGCACTCCTTCATAAAGTGATCATTTCACTCTCAGACTGTACGGCACTATTGTCTGAAATCTCTGAATAAAGTTGAACTTTTATTTGTCATCATAGTTTTAGCTTACCTTGTGCATTTTAATTTGATATTTTTAATCCTCCATCATTCAATATTTTGCTCTATTTCTGTTATTGGGCTATTTTCTTACCTTGTGCCGTTGGACCACCTAACTGTGTTCAAACTCATCTCTGTGTGTTCTCAAAGTGAATTATTAAAGAGGGAAAACACACAAACAAAAACTGATACAAAGTTATTTTGGGTAAGAAGCATAAAACAGGGTTTTTCCTGCATAAACAATTCTTTGGCGCCCCCCAAAGAGGTTTTACCCAGCGCCAAAGGAAAATCCAGAGCGCCAAAAGAAAAAAAAGACGATGAAAACTGCAAATCAAATCCTCCCTGAATGTTAAAAGTATCAATACATCAAACGACTGTTGAACAAGCAGAACATAAACTTAAATACGACGTCTCTGACTTCTAGCAGTCATCTCCCCTCTCATCCGTTTACGCATGTGGCTCGCGCTGGATAGCCAGCTGATTGACTGTTCGTTTCTTTTGATTGGTTCCGTCCGCTCCGCTGACACCCACAAGCGCTAAATTCGGGTTGATTTTCCATTTGGCGAGTTAATTTCAAAGAGCAATGCTCTTCATGGCGGTAAATATTTATCCCAACAGTCATGTTAAAACTATACTAAACCGCGTATGACGTATAGCTGCGGCTACTTGTCCCTGCTCCTCTGCTGTCTGCAGACGGGTCATCGGGGGGGCACGCCGAGACGAGACACACCAACATACATGGCTGCAAACGCGCACACACACACCGGAACACCAACCACCGCACACACCTGTTGACTTGTCGTGAAACGGAACCCGGTTGATCCGCTATCCGTATGGACCGAGTCGGGAACGCACGTTCAACTTTTCTCTGTTCAATTCCAACGTGTCTGCTTTTATCAACAATCAATATCTTAACGACTGTAACGTCAGCCAGCTGTAGTCTGTGAACTTCTCCACACAGACTGTCAACCAGCGCTGCGTTAGAGCCAGCAAATATATTTTTATTATTTCTCAATTTCCTGATCTGATCAAATGATCCAAATTATCTGTGACTTAAATCTGTGATTATTTGACATAATACCTTAGTAATTCAAATAAATGTACTTTTGGCAGGATGTGACCTCGCCTCTCCCAATCTCATTACACCCCTCTCCCTCAAAATCCCTCTCCTCCCATGTTTCATTGTTGCAATTAAAAAAAATTCTTTACCAGATTGAATTGGGGTTTCAGTAACTTAAGCATAATGATAATATTATTTATAAAATGGTCAGAAATAACAGGAAATGCACAGATTTCTGTCAAATAAGGTAATACTGAGCCAGGACAAACCCTGTAAAAGTATAAAATCCTACCACTTCTCGTCTCCACTTCTTTTTAAAGCCAACTGTCACCCTACAGAGGCTCTGCCTTAAAAAGGAGAGGCATTTTTAGCTTTAATAATAAAAACAAGCGATTATCACGTCAGGCCAAATCTTGACCTTAAACAAAGAAATCTAAAAACATGTTCAAAACTTTTTTACCTATAATAATAATAATAATAATAATAATAATAATAATGATGCATTTTATTTAAGGGTGCCTTTCATGTCACTCAAGGTCACCTTACAGACACAGCAGTAGAGTAAAAAACACGAACACTATCAACTACTTAAAAACAAAAACACAAAAACAGCAGCTGTGAGCTGTGATCTGAAGGTGGGGAGATAGTTAATGTCATGGATGGTTTGTGAAAGAGAGAGTTCCAGAGACGGGGGGCCGTACGGCTAAATGCTCGAGATCCCATTGATGATAGGCGGAAAGGAGGTGTGGTGAGGAGCATGGAGGAGGCAGAACGGGGGGACCAAGAGGGTGTGCAGGCAGGGTCCGAAATTAACTTTTTGACTCACCGGCCAAGGTGGCAGGTAGATGAAAAATTTCATATCAGTCGATATATAAATAATAATAAATTTAAAATCAGATTTTTGTTCCTGAGTGAAAGATGAAGAAACCAGATGGTTAATTATGGTTTAATTATTCTTTATTGTCAGAACATGAAGAATTATAATTAAACAGGAACATTTCACCATCATAAGCTCAGAGCACGGAGGTAAACAAATCAAGTAAAAAAAGGCAGTGACTAACAATAAATAATACACACACATATAGGCACACACACACAGACTGACCTTTAAATAGAAAGACATTTTAGCTGTGGACTTCCAGCTGAATGTGAATGTTTGATAGTTGTGTGGGTTTATTCACAATGTTACAATTCACTTAGCAGACGCTTAGCGCTCAGTCTGTAGGGACTTGGGTTGGGAACCGGAGGGTCCCGTTGTGGGACCCTCCTGTCCCGTTGTGGACCAAATATGGAAGTTGGTCTGGTAGCTGGAGAGGTGCCAGATCCTGTTTGTGCATGTGTGTGTATATTTCAGCCTATGTGTGTGTTGCATGAACTACAGAGTGTAAAAACTGAAATTTCCTCTTGCAGGGATCAATAAAAGTAAATCTTAAATCTTATTACCGCTGTTTTGGATGATAAAGATAGTCATCTACCGTTGTCTCCAAGCGTTTCTACAACAAACTAGGCCTACATCATGTCCGGTCCTGACAGTGGAGATGACTCACGACCAACTTCCACCAGATGCGTGTCCGGTCCGTCTCCGTTTTTTTACATGTTTATAAGGTTTCTATAGAGTTTTATACCACATACATCATATTATCTCGCACTGTCGCCAGTTAGTTTGTTTAATTACCGCTATTAAAGTTATAACTTGCACGCTTTATAAAATGTGTTAGTTCATGTCACCTCCCAGGCTCCGTAGACTTCTACTTTATTTATGTGTAAAATGTCATGAAAGACTGTGCACACCTATGACAAAATGTACTTGTTTCAATCATAGATGATCTGCATCCCCTGAGGCGCTGTTGGAGTATGGGATGGTTGCCACCTGACAGTGAGTAAAACTTCTATCCATTTGTATAAGAATATCTGTTTTGGTCACATCTGTATAAACAGCAGGTAATCAAATCCCAAAATAAAGAAAGAAAACTGGATTAAAAAAAAATAGCTAGTTAGTCTGTTTAAATTTTTCTTTTCGCAGTGTCTGAGTTGAGGGTTGTTCTGCTGGGGAACTCATGGTCTGAGAGGAGTTCAGTGGGGAACGTCATAATGAGAGAGACTGTGTTCAACACTGGAAAAGAAGCAGACCAATGTGAGCAAGTCAGGAGACAAATAAAGGAGAAAGACATAGTTCTTATCAACACTCCAGATCTGCTGCATCCCACCATCTCTGAAGACAAACTGACAGAACATCTGACAGACTGTGTGAGACTCTCTGATCCTGGACCTCATGTGTTCCTGTTGGTTCTCCAGCCTGATGACTTCACTGAGGAATATAAACAGAGATTCTGTAGAGTTCTTAAACGCTTCAGTGATCAGTCATTTGAAAATTCACTGATACTGATATCAACACCCAGAGAGCAGGGCTCAAGTAGTGTTAAAATACATTTGCAAAATCAACCCTTAAAAGAGATGATCAGAGAATGTAGATACAGATATTTGGAGGAGGCAAACCTTCCAGAGCTGTTGACCCGTTTGGGTCAAATTGTGAAGGAACACAATGGAGAGCATGTCAGCTGTGAAGTGTTCATGGATGCCCCTGATGATATACAGAGAATACAACAAATGGAAACAAGGCCCAGAATCCTGGATGCTGTTATGTCTTCTGGTAAGAGATCTGTTCTCATCAAAATGTTTAAACTCAAAATCATGACTGATCTCATGAGAATATGAAGCTGATAGTCAATGATGTCATCTTTTAACAGGTCTTAGCGATAACATGGTGACACCCCCTCCCTCAGGGGAAAGTAAGTAAACTTTCATAAATAGACACCTTTTATTATTACTGACCAGTACAATATTGGCGCCACTGTGGTTGACCCTTATCCCCCAAAAACTCATCTCCCTTTAGAGAAAACTTGGGAAATTATAATCAAATTTTTTTATTATTATTATAAATATATTGTATCCAAAAATGTGAAACCGGAATCCAATAGAGACTTGACTATATTATCTGATAGCAGTACAAAGTTCAGCTCCCGCACTAAAAAACAACTTGGGCCCATGCCCATAATGCAAAAGGTGGTGAGCCATTTTGTACTGCTTTACAATCAATCAGTCTTTATTTGTATAGTGCCAATTCATAACAAATGCTGTCTTCAGACACAAAAATAGTAGATAGTAGATCTAGACCGTACTCTTTATATTATTTACAAAGACCCAACATTAATCTACCATGAGCACAGTAAAGTTACAGTGGCAGGGAAAAACTGCCTTTTAACAGGAAGGAATCTGGAGCAGAACCAGACTCACCAAAAGAGTGAGTTGTATAATTAAAATAATAAACTATTTAAGCCATGAACAAGGTTCAAGGTTCAAGGTTGTCTTTATTATCCCTGCTAGAGGGCAATTTGTTTTGCAGTCAGCAGTAAAACACACACATACATACAGCCCGAAATGAGCAAACAACATAGAAAGGACAGTAAATAATAGATAAGAAACAGAGGCAACACAGTTAGTGGTTTAAAAAGGTGATGGCAGCAGGAACAAATGAGTTTCAGGGTGCACATTCAAAATCAGTCCTCTTGAAGGCTTTATCCAATCCAACCCAATTTGGTCTTGGTAACGTAGATACCTTGGAGAATAAAATGTATTAAAAGCTTAAGTTTTGTTAAAGGGCGTGGCCATGGCTGAGGGGTTAAAATGTATGTAAAATTACAGAAAATCACTGTAAGTTTATATATGCAAGGTCCAGCACTGTAAAGCGCAGAAGTTAAATCAGTAATAAAGTGTATTTGTATGTATTTGTGTAAACTGCTTAGCAAAAGTTATGCTGTAATAAAGTAAAAGTTATGGACACATTAAATCAGGAAGCATACATGTAAATTACTGTATACTTCCTGTTTTAATGTGACGGTTTAACAGTTTGTAAACAGGTTGAGGAATATAAATATATATAATGATTATGTAGGTATGAACAGACACACACAGACAGACATTGATTTAATGGTTCATAGTTTTTTTTTCCTGCTACTGTCTTGATTAAGCTAATTAGAAGCCAACATGAAGATTATGAGTTTTTCTTTCATTAAACATTGAAAGCTAAATATGGAAAACAGAATGTAAGCTTTAGTTTAACCATGTGGCATGACTTAATGTCTCTCTACACGTTACATTTTATTTTTCTATTACAGTCAGAATTCTGCTGCTGGGGACAGACGACAAAACAACAAAACTTGGAGACTTTATCACTGGAAAAGAACAACACAGGTCAACCATTAAAGCAAAGCTTTCCTCAGCCAAACAAGAGGTGCAGAGTGGAGAATGGAGAGGAAAGCCTCTTACAGTTGTGAAAACTCCAGAAGTTTTCAGTGTTTCTTTGGAGAAGCGGAGAGAAGAGATGAAGAAGGCTGTGAGTCTCTGTCCTCCTGGACCAAATGTTGTGCTGCTGTTAGTGAAACCTTCTGATTTCACTGAAGAGAACAGACAAACACTGAAGTTCATCCTGAGTTTCTTCAGTCAAGATGCTTTCAAACACTCAGTGGTCATCAGCACACATAAGGAGGATAAAACAGATGTCTCTTTTAGAAGTCTCATTAAAGACTGTGGAGAACGACACTACAGTATGGCTGACAACAACCGTGATGTATTAATGCAAAAGATTGAGAAAACTGTTCATGAAAACAAAGGAACCTTTCTCACTGTCATTGAGGATTCAGTCGCCCCAAAGTCTGGTCTTATGAAAACAGCTTTGAGCCTGGTTCTGTGTGGAAGGAGAGGAGCAGGGAAGACTTCAGCAGCTGAGGCCATTTTAGGTCAGACAGATCTTCATTCAGTCTCCAGCTCATCAGAGTGTGTTAAACATCAGGGAGAGGTGTGCGGACGTCGGGTTTCCCTGGTGGAGCTTCCTGCCCTGTATGGAAAACCTCAGGAGGAAGTGATGAGGGAATCATTCAGGTGTATCTCTCTCTGTGATCCTGAGGGTATCCATGCCTTCATCCTGGTTCTACCTGTGGGTCCACTCACTGATGAAGACAAAGGAGAGTTGGAGACCATGAAGAACACATTTGGGAGTCGATTCAATGACATCACTGTGTTGCTGTTCACTGTTGAGTCAGATCCCTCAGCTCCAGCTGTTGTTAACCTTCTAAAAGATACCAAGTCCATCCAGGAGCTTCTTCAGAGCTGTGGAGGAAGATCTTTGGTTCTAAACATCAGGGACAAGCAGCAGATCCCAGAGCTGTTGGACATGGTGGAAAAGATGCACAAAGATAAATCCAAATCATTCATCTTCACAACACAAACATTTGCACATGCCCAAATACAAAAGATCGCTACACTACAGGCTGAGCTGAAGAACCTGAAAACAAAAGACCCAATCATCTGTAAGTACTATTTATTTTGATTTATACAAATTATTCTAACTTTTAAAAAAAATGAATAACCTATTGTTAATCATACCTAAAAGTCTGTATATATACTGTACTATACAATTTGCAGCATTGAATGTAATTCTAGGCCCTCTTTTTTCACAGTTGATGATGAGAAGCTGAGTCAACAGAGTCTCAGGATTGTGCTGATAGGGCAGACTGGCTCTGGGAAGAGCTCTTCAGGAAACACCATTCTAGGTCGTAAAGAGTTTGAAGCCGAACCAAGCCAAACATCAGTCACAAAATGTTGTGAGAAAGCACAGAGTAAGGTAAATGGTCGTCCTGTCACTGTGGTTGACACTCCTGGTCTGTTTGACAATAGCTTGTCTCATGAAGAGGTTCAAGAAGAGCTGATTAAATGCATCAGTCTTCTGGCTCCAGGACCACATGTCTTCCTGTTGGTGTTAAGCATCGGCCGATTTACACCAGAGGAGAAGGAGACATTACAACACATCAAGAACGGTTTTGGGAAGAATGCTGAAAAGTTCACCATCGTTCTTTTAACTAGAGGAGATTCATTAAAGCAAGCGAAGAGGTCCATTGAAGAATACATTGATAAGAGATGTGATGATTCCTTTAAGAAACTGATTGCTGACTGTGGAGGAAGATACCATGTGTTTGATAACCGTGATGACAAAAACAAAACTCAAGCCAGTGAGCTGATAACGAAGATTGAAGAAATGGTGAGAACTAATGGAGGCAGCTGCTACACTAATGAGGTGCTGCAAGAATCTGAAGCCACTAGAGAAAAAGAAATGGAGAGACTATTGAAGGAGAAGGAAGAAGAGATGAAGAGAGAGATGGATGAGCTTCAAAAGAAACACGAGGAAGAAATGAAAGAAAAGCAACAAGAGACTTGGGAGAAAGAAAGAAGAGAACGAACACAAGAAGATGAGCAGAGACAACAGGAGGAAAAAACAAAACTTAAAAAGCTCAAAGATGAATACGAAAAAGAAAGAGAGATTAATGAAAAAAAAAGAAAGGAAGAGGACAAATACAGAAGAGAACAGGAGGAGAAGGAGAGAAGTGATATGGAGGAAAACTACAAGAAACAAATGAAGGAAATGAAGGATAAGTATGAAGTGAAGGCCAGAAAACAAGCTGAAGAACTCAATGATTTCAGACAGAAATACATGAAGGACTTCAATGCACTGATAGACAAACACATGGAGGAAATGTGTGAGTTGAAGCGAAGGCATGAAAGACAAATGCTGGATTCAGAGGAGAGACGTGACAAAGAGTAAAATCTTCTACAAAACCTCTCAGAAAGCAAAGAAATACACCTGATACACCCCACCATAAGGCAGCCCTATGGGACTAACAACAGTCCACACATTGCCCCATTAAAATACTTAAAACACCTTAACAAAACAAAACAAAGGGATTTATTACAATATGACACACTAAATGATAACGAAGATCAAAATATAACAAAAGACAATCCCTGACTGAGAAGTACAGCAGTCCCAACTCCAAATGCCTCCTGCACCCAGCACTGGCCTTTTAAGCACTGAGGCCAGGTGTACCTCGTTGTGTAATTAGTAGCTTCACCTGGGCTGGAGACAACAGAAAGGGAGAAGGGACACAGGGAAACATACAGCCGTAACACATCTAAAAGAAGGAAAATGAAAAAAATATACAAAAGCAAATGTATCTTCCTCTGATGGTTCCATCAACTCTTGATTATGATGTTAGCCGATTGAACACAGTTTGTTTTGGTTTATGTTTTTGCTGGACCACGTAGGGTTGATATATGTACAGAAACATGCCCAACAGTGTCCAAGGAGGTGACAAAGAGATTTCCAGTAGTAACTTAGTTCTTGCTAAGATTCATGGATGTGATGTGATGTAAAACAAACACATGATACCTGTGCCCTAATAAAAAGTGCTCAACCAAAAACTGGGACAACGATGTCATTGTATGGAGGAAAATGTTGGAGTGCCAACGTTGCTGATGATGTGTTCTGCTCGCGAGAAATCAGCTACCAAAACTGATCGGACTCATTCATAAGGTTTTGCTGTTTTATATACTGTAGGTGTAAAAATTGTAAGAGAGATGCTGCCACAAGAGGGCGCCCTGTGTATAAAACAGGCCTGTTCCTTTTTAAAGGAGCCTTTCCCTAAAAAAAACCTTTTCCCGGAAAACCACTGCTTTTTTATCTTGTTTTATGCTTTGGTTTTAACTCTGCCTGATTTCACCTGTCTTACTAATGCAATTGTTTTTTATGGTTTTTACTCTAATTGATCTAAGTGATTCCTGTTTGATTTCTTCATTCAGTTTAGATGTGAATCAAACACAAAACCATTGCTCCAATTATTGTTTGTACAATTTTTGTAATTTCAGGTGTTTTGATCTTTGTATTTTGAAAAATGTGTCTTTTATTATAAAAGGTGTTTTATGTTTGCTATAGTTGATTGTACTCATTCAAGTTATTTAATCCATTGAGAAAATGTGCATCAAGGATTCTCAGAGATATTTTGGTATTTTTTTCAAGTTTACTACATTTTATAAACACAAATGTTTCATTCCCTGATGTAAAACTTGTTTTGTTTTTCTTTGTTCTATGTCTGTGATAATTAAAAAATAATCTCAACAAAATTAAGTTTCAGACATCACCTTTATCATGGGGAAGTAATACTCTTACATGTGATCTGACATTTCAATCAATCAAGCTTTATATATGCTCAGCACCTTTCATACAAATCAAATGCAATTCCAGGACCATCCTGGTTCATAAAGTAAAAGAGAAGAGCCAGAGGATCTGAGGGGCCGTCATGGTTCATCAACTTCAATCATCTGTGAGATGTAGTCTGCTGCAAGGCCATGTATTACTTTATAACTAATACAATAATTGTAAAATCAACAAGAACAGGCAGCCAGTGTTAAGATTTTAGAATCAGCGTCATGTGCGCTCTCCTTGTGGTCTGCGTTTGAATGATTTGCAGCTGATTTATTGTTTTCTTTGTCGGGCCTTAAAGGAGAGTGTTACTGTAGTCTGACCTGGCCTCACTTTAGGGTTAGTCATATTAAACACCTACATGTCTTGCTTCTTGGCTTGGGTTAAGTCCAAGTGCAAAAGCATGATTATCTCTTGTACATAACGTTGTAATACAACGCATGCATGCCTTTGAACCGATGATACTTACTTCAGTTCTGGTTAGGGTTAGGTACCCTTATTTTTACAGTCTATGTGAAATATACGTTGAAACGAGGGCTGTCGCTATAACCACCAAAAATGCTGTGTAAACATGGTATTTGAGGTAAACGGAGGCAACCCCCATAACCACTAAACCTGTTGTCTACTGTAAGGGGAAAGCAGTTTCATGGATTCATGGATGTAAACCAGGATGAGAAAAAGCTGTGGAAATTCTCTGGGGAGATAGAAAGGGCGAAGGGAGACAGCCAGAAGCTCAATGTCCGAGGTGCACAGTTTCTCCCTCACGATGATCGTCGAGCACCAGCGTGTGTTTACATAAAGACACACGCCGCCATGTTGTTTCCCAGTGAGCTCACTGTCTCGATCAAGTCTTAAAGGGGGGGGAGAAGCCATCAACGTGCAGCGTGTTATCATCGTTGTTCTTATTTAACCACGTCTCAGTAAAAGCAAGAACAGAGGCAGTCCTGTACTCATGCATGTGGTTAATGTTGGCCTGTAACTCGTCCGTTTTATTACGGAGGGAGCGTACGTTAGCCAGGATGATAGATGGAAGCGGCCGTTGTTTACATGTCTCCCGTTTAAGCCTGGCTCTGATTCCTCCCTTTCTCTTTCCCCTCCTGGTTACCTTGTTATTTTTGTGTGCAGAGTTGTCTTGGCTGACTGAGTTATCCTGGAGAATTTCTTCTGGAAGCATGTCTGTATTGATGTCATGATGAGTTTTAAATCCGAGCTGCAGCAGAATGTCTCGTGTGAGATACTGCTTGACTTAATCATATTTAACACAATCGATATGATCACTGAGTCTTTTACAAAAAGTAAATGTGAATAGATTTGTGATAGATCGACAGTTAACGGAGACTGGATTCAAATTCTGGGTTGACTGAGTCAACTCTGCAGGGCTCCACAAGATGGCGCCGCTGACCGGCTAAAAACAGATGGAGGTAGGTTGACAATTTGCTCTTTATCACTACTTTAGCGTTTTTTTAATCCCAAATATCTGGTCCTCTTTTTTTTAGACGTGTATTATATAAATGTATTCAGGAATTGTAGAATGAATATAATCAGAAAGCCTTCAACTTTACAATAACTTCAAAGAAGTAAAGTTGAAGATTTGTAAAATTACTATTAAAAATATGTTGTAACGAGGGCTGTCGCTATAACCGCAAAAATGAATTACCGCTGTGTAAACATGCTAATTGCGTTAAACGGAGGCAACCCCCATAACCACTAAACCTGTTCTCTACTGTAAGGGGAAAGCAGTTTCATGAGTGATTCATATAACAGGTAGGGGTCCTACAAGAAGACCATGAACGACCTGACATCTCTAACATTAGCATCCGGAGGTATATATACAGCTGTAACTATCACTACTGTTAGCTCTCTGGGTAAGAAAAATGGTCTGCATTTAACTGACATGAATTCAATGTCCGGGGAACAGTATTTATCTATGATTATGCTATTGTTGGACCAGTCGTTCTGTATGTAAATGCAAAGACCCCCTCCTCTGCTCTTACTGGAGTCTTTGTTTCTGTCCCAGCGGTGGAGAGTGCGGCCTGCTAGCTGTACTGCAGCGTCGGGGATCCGCGGGTGAAGCCAGGTCTCAGTTATAATCATAACACAGCAGTTATGAACATAGCGTTAACATTTGATTCATATTGTGTATTTAAAAAACGACAGACTTCAGTAAGTGATTGACCTGTTGCTTCACCAAATTCTTAAGTTGTATGATTACATGAAGTGCCTGCGCTGCCACCAAGAGGGCGCACTGTCTATTTAAACTTTCTTTTTTCTCCAGATATTTTTTTTCATTTCTGTTTAAGGAGCTACAGTTGAATATTTCTTCTCACCTCAGTGTTAATGTAATTCATACTTTCATACGCATACTTACTTTTTCCCATTCCTCTTATCACTTATTCTTCAGTTTTGATCGTAGGTTAAACCTGGCTTCGTAACTTTCTGACAAGGTCTACATATTTACTATATTTGACCACAGTGGAAGCAACATCACCTCGTCGTCATAGACAAACCACATGCAGGTAAATCATGCTATTGCTCTGGAAGACTTGGATTGCCCAAGATTTGAAGACCATCTCTGGTTCTCTAACAGGGTTAGACTCTGGGCTACTAATGGGTAAGTACATCCATGTTTTTCTTCTCCTACTTAGGTAGACTGTCAGGTAAGTCTATTGTTATCACTCACACAATGCAGTTACAGTGCATCGTAAACACCCACTCCTACTGTACTAACAGTCATGCATTAAAAAAGACAACCCTTCAGAAGTTAACCAAATCAAAACATCACATATTTGGACATTTAAAATGAGCGTCTCTAATGGTTAAACAATTCTTTACTTTCCTGCAATTATTTAAGTCATTTATTATTTTCTATTTAACAGTTAAAATTGTGTTTTTAAGATACACTTTTGATTTGTTATATCCATAGCTTCATTTTCACCCTGTTACTCAATGTTCACCAAAAAGTCTCTTAGTTTAGAGCAACAACTACAGGATATTTTTTTATGGTTTCCTACAAAGTGCCCATTGACCTCTGTACGTTATATACCTGCAATATACAGTACAAGTATACAGTATGACAACACAAAACAGACCTCTTAAATATCACAAAAAGAGTAAATCTTCAGGGTAGCACTTGTAGATAGTTCCCTTGTTTGCCTCTGTCACAGTCAGTATCTCTGACTTTATTCAACAGTCACATTTACACTTCTAAAGGCTGCTTGCTGTTCTTGATCTCTCCACCAGATGCTCCCAGTTTCCATCCAATCTCTATGTTTTAAACCTCATCCTTTTTCTAGTGAGACCTGTTGTTTACTGCTCTGTTATTTAAAATCATTCATCATACTTACTTGATTTATTATATTTTTTTAGAAAGAAAAAGGTTAATAATTTACAAATTCTATAAGTTCCAATAAACCACCAAAAGGCTTTTATTAATAACCAAACAAGTGTTTTAATGAGTTACTTCAAAATATTATACATAGTGACTGTTTTCAGTGTTTCCTCAGCTATCACTGAAATGAAAAACATATTTGGAGATGAATATTTATCATTCAAAATAACTTTCTTTTAATGATTCCAACCAACCTCCTTGTAGTCCCGTGTTTAGAGAACTATACTTTTCCGCCAGCAGGGGGAACTGGAGAGTTCATCTTGAGTCTCTTGATCCCTCACAAACAAAGGTGGTTTATCTGTGATTTAAAATATGAGGAAGTGCTAACTTCTTACATTTGATACAACCTGTTATTCCTCATTGTGAGAAAAAGTCTCAGGCAAATCCAGGTTGTCCTTGAACTCGACAAACACGCTGTAACATGTTAATCTTTATTAAACTATGTTTTTGTCAGATGTGCCGTGGCTGCTTCACTTGAACTTTTACTGCTGATTTTTTCACATCAAGAAATTCACCAGGTGAGTAAACTCGACCAAACTAGATATAGAAATATTATCAAATCATAAAAGCAATGTTAGATCGCTTGTACTGTTGACAGAGATGACATTAAACAGCATGATGTTCCAAAATATAAAGGCAAACAGGCAGTAAAACAAACAGACAATAAAAGCATACTGATAGAATAAAATATTAAAATGAAAAAGAATGTCTGAAGTACAGAAGTAAAACGAGGGACAGACTCTGCAAGTCTGATCTCTGGCAGGCTGTTCCACTGTCTGGGGGGCTATGACAGCAAAAGCCATGTCCGCTTTAGTTTTCAGCCTGGACCCTGGAACAGCCAGTGGAGAACTGCCAGAGGATCTCAGACTGCGTCCTGGTTCATAAGGGGTTAAAAGCTCTAAAATATATGTAGGAGCCAGCCCATGTTGTGGTTTGAAAGTAATTAAAATAATCTTAAAATCAGTGAAGGGATGTTAAGATTGGAGTGATATGGGCACATTTGTTTTTTCTTGTTAAAAGCCGGGCTGCTGTGTTTCGGATTGTTTGAATGTGTTTGATTTATTTTTTTACTGAGTCAGGTGTATAATGAATTACAGTCTTCAAGGCTGGAGGAAATAAAAGCGTGGATGAGTTTCTCCAGCTCTTTTTGCGACATGAGTGATTTGACTTCCAAGACATCCAACAAACATGTGAATAATGTAAAGTATTGTGTGTGATCAGGTCTGAAACGAGGCGCCCTGTTAGGGATTCAGTAATTATTTATGCTGTTAAGGTTATCAAAAATGAGGTGAGATAGTTTCTGTCAGTGCTGAAAATGTAATTTGTTTCCTCTTGTGGGGTGTTATCAAGTTAAAAGCATCTGACCTAAACTTGTTGAACAGCATTCTGTTCTCTCACATAACACAGTGATGGATAAAGACTCTGAATCTAACACATTTATTTCAGATCTTGCACTTTAACCAGTAGTTTAAAAAGTAGTCATTTACATGTCCGGATTACAACATTTTATATCAACAAGTTAAACATTTGGTGAACTTCTTCCTAACGACAGCAACAGTCTTCTGCTTTCATACTGTTGGCTGCTACCAAGAAGGGGAGGGACTTGTTTTCCATAGCCAATTGGTAGTCGCCATTAGCTGACACAGCCAATAGGAACAGAGTCCGAGTTTAATTACTCTGACTTACAAATTTTTAACCAATAAAAATAAACATATAATTACGGAGCTCATGTTCCACCCGACCCCCAACTCCACTCTCGTTTCACAATTCTTTTCGTGTCGCAGCAAGAAATTCATGGGGAGAATGAACTTGACGAAAACTAGATAAACAAGTATGAACAAGTAATAATAGAATAGCTGTATAGTTTAAAGGTTATCAGATAACATATTACTAGATTACATTCATTTTATTGTCAAATCTCATCAACAACTACTTAAATTACCGAACTCTGATAAAAAATTCAGATAGTAGGCCTTTTAGGTCAACATTAACTGAAATCACAAAACGTCCTCCTGTAAGTCTGCTGTTAAGATCCTATCACAGTAACTGATCTAAAAACAGTGATCCATGAATACTTTTCCTGAAGTAACCTGCACCCCATGTGTTCAGCCCATTGATATGGTTTTTATTCTTCTTGAGGTGATGACCTATCAGTCAGATTTAAACTTAGCCTAAGGATTTACCAACAAATAAAAAAGGTTAACTTGTGATCAGTAGGACTGATTAAACAACTAAGCAAGGTGATAGTTTCTGCCAGTGATGAGAATGTAATTAGTTCCTCTTGTGGGGTGTTATCCAGTTCAATGCATCTGACCTAAACTAGTCGAACAGCATGCTGTTCACTCACACAACACAGTGATGGATAAAGACTCTGAATCTGACAAATCTATCTTCAATCTAATGACTTCAGATTATTTTCGGATAGAATTGAAATGTTGAAGTCAGAAAGTATTGGATTGAACTACGGCCAAAAGGTCTTAGACTTAGAAACTTTATTTATCCCTGAGGGCAGCCGGAGGGCACCCAGACCATGTATACATTTACAAACAAACAAACAGATGGAGTATGTCAGAGACAACAAACAAATCAGTACTTGACAAAGATGAGCACTGGCACCCTCGTGTGGTCTCTTTGGGCAATGACACCCTTTATTCTTTTACCAATTAAAATTGGTAATTTGTAAATCAAAAGTGACTATTTTCAGTATTTTGTGACTTTGAATACCAACAATAGATTTGGAAATTGATATTTATCAAATGGAATAAGTGTTTATTTCTCTTCTGAAAGTCATCTTTATTGTCAATTTTTCATACGTGCTGGACATACAGAAAAATCAAAAAACCTTTTCGCTCCTGAACACGATGCAAGCTAAGTATAAAAAAAATTAAAAATATAATACAAAATAACAAATATGAGAATAAAAAAGAGAATGTGCAAAAAGATGTGCATTCAAAGAACAACTGCATCAACAACAAATGTGCATGGACATGAAATCAGCTTATCGATAAATATAAGGCACTAGAATATTGGAACAAATGTATTTTAAAGTCTTTTTGTCATTTTAAAGTGACCGATGACTCTGTGTTGCTAAAGAGTAGTTATAAAGTGTTTATTATTATTCTAAAGATTATTGTTAGTCTGTTGGAGTTGGCTCGGAGGCTCCAGTACTGTCTCCCAGATGGCAGGAGGCTGAATAGTCTGTGTAATGGATGGCTGGGGTCACACACAATCCCATAAGTGTTGTACTTTTCTTCAAGTTGAGGGAACTGAAGAGTTGATCTTGATTCCCCCTCAAACACAGATTCAGTTTATCGGTGTATTAGACTATGAGAAAGTGCTCAGATCTTGCACTTTGATAAAACAGTTATTTTAGTTAGTTTAAAAAGTAGTCATTTACATGTCCAAAATCCATAATTTTATATAAACAAGGTCATTTTTTTGTGAACTTCTTCCTAACAACAGAAACATTTGTCTGCTCTCAAAGTGCTTCTGTAGTGTTGGCTGCTACCAAGAGGGGGTGGTGCCGACAATGCCATCGTTTTTTAAATATTGTTTGTAATATTATCGATGTTCACCTTCAACATGAACTTGCTGATATGTTGTAGGAATCAAGGCCAGCCCGTGGCATAGGCAGTATAGGAAATTGCTAGGGGCGTCGCCGTCCATAGGGGGTGCCCTGCCTCCTCAAATGGGTGAGGGAGAAAAGTTGAAATAAGAAGAAATAGAAAAAAACGTGTCACTTTAAGGTATAATATGTAGAATTTTATAACAATGTTTACATTCAAATTTCTAAATTGATTAAAAATTGACTAAAACCATGTTATACATTTTTTGTTGAGTACTTACATTACCTCAAATATTTCCAACAGTTATCAAAGCCAGAGAAATCCTCATTTTATTAGTTGTACCGGGCTGCCATGACAAAACACGACATGTTTATCATTGTCATTGAAACACCGGATGTTTCATCAAAGCCCGCTGCATAAAGAAGCGTGAGCTGCTCCTGAAAGCTGCCGTACTGTTGCTGTATGAGCTGCTGTGATAAAAACGTCATGTAGATTATAATCGGACATATTAGCTTATCTGTAACATTTAAGGGGACGAGCTCCATCAGTTATTGAAGGTGATACATTAAAAAAAACTATAGTCCTGCACAAATGTAAACATACACCCAATTAAGGTCTTTTGTTCTCAGTAACCAGACTAGGCTACATGCTACTCTGAAAACCTTTCTAAACAAAAGTAAACAAAAACTGTGTTTCAAGGTTCTCAATCAAAGCTGTTCTTTTCCAGTCGAATTCGTCCCTGGTTTTTCCAGAAGAGTGACATCATGGCGACTGCAGCGGCAGGTGAGTTGAATTTATTAGTCCATACAACTTTGTACTCGTCAGCAACAAAAAAAGTTTTGTACTCAGCTGTTCAAACAGTTCAATGAGTCTTGGATTAAAGCCTAGAACATCTGAAGTCAATAAACAGTTTTTTATCAGAAAGCAGACTAATTATGTGCAGCACTATGTTTAATTCATCATTCTAAATACTGAGGTGTCTGATGTACCGTTAATCTTAAATTAAAAGCCCAACATCTATCCAAGAAAGACAGAATAAACTTGTATGTGTAGCAGGTTAGTAGATTAGGTGGAGATATGTGTGTATGCTTACACTAAATGTGAACGATGCTTCTCAGAGTGTCCTGCATCATTAACATTAGTGAGTTGTAATTCAAACATTTCTTGACATCATCATTTTGTACAAAACTTTATATTCTTTATAGGTGGATTCACAATTTTATAGACTCTCCCATCTTTGCTGAGAACAAGTTTGATTGAAAATATTTAAAGGCCTGTTTTGTATTGACAACGGACTCTAATAAAGGCACGGCAATTTCATGGATGAAGTAAATCAAAGCCTGGGCTATTCATTTTAGTCTCACAGTGCGGTTATATTCATGTCAGTAACTTCACTAATATTTGCAATTAAAGTCTATGATCGCCCATGACAACATTCATCTGTGTCCTTCAAATCACAGATGATCTGCATCCTCTGAGGCGTAGAAGTAGCTTTCAATGGTTCCCACCTGACAGTAAGTGAAACTTTTATCCAGCTGTACATCAACACCTGGATTTACATTATTTCTGGGTAACATCTGTAAGTAGGTACCCCTGAAATAAAAAATATATAACTCTTCCTAAATGTATGTGTGAGTAGATCTTTTTAAACCTTTGTTTTTCACAGTGTCTGAGTTGAGGATTGTTCTTCTGGGGAACAGCTGGTCTGAGAGGAGTTCAGTGGGGAACCTCGTACTGGGAAAGACGATGTTCAACACTGAGGAAGAACCAAACAGCTGTTTGAAAGTCAGAGGACATATAAAGGAGAAAGACATAGTTCTTATCAACACTCCAGATCTGCTGCATCCCACCATCTCTGCAGACAAACTGAGAGAACATGTGACAGACTGTGTGAGACTCTCTGATCCTGGACCTCATGTGTTCCTGTTGGTTCTCCAGCCTGATGACTTCACTGAGGAATATAAACAGAGATTCTGTAGAGTTCTTAAACGCTTCAGTGATCAGTCATTTGAAAATTCACTAATATTCATATCAACACCCAGAGAGCAGGGCTCAAGTAGTGTTAAGATATATTTACAAAATCAACCCTTAAAAGAGATGATCAGAGAATGTAGATACAGATATTTGGAGCTGGCAAACCTTGAACTTCCAGAACTGTTGACCCGTTTGGGTCAAATCGTGAAGGATCACAATGGAGAGCATGACAGCTGTGAAGGGTTCATGGATGCCCCTGATGACCTACAAAGAATTCAACAAAAGAAAACATGCGATGCTGTTACTTCTTCTGGTAAGAGATCTGTTGTAATCAAAATGTTTGAACTCACAATCATATTGATCTCATCAGAACCTGAAGCTGATAGTCAATGATGTCATCTTTTCACAGGTCTTTTTACCAGGGATAACATGGTGACACCCCTCCCTCAGGGGAAAGTAAGTAAACTTTCACAAATAGACACATTTTATTATTACTGACCAGTACCATATTGGTGACAATTTGACCTCATCACTCTTTATAGAAAAGTTGATAAACTATAATAACTAATGTTAGAATAGCAGTTTTTCTGCTACAGAGAATAATTTTATATATGGACCATTCTACCGAATTGGTTCAAAGTCAGGTTGGAAATATTTTGATTTTTTTTTAGTTTTATTCCCAAATTGTTTCCCCTATACTATTTATATTGTACTATATCTGAAGTACACGTATCTATTAAAAGAACCATCAAATTTGATATTGCACTTTTAGACTGTTTTGGAATGTTTTTCCTCGCCCCAAATTTGTCACTACCGAAACATAGTATTAAACCATGATAAAAACAATATTATGTTAACCTGTTAATATTATGCTGACTTCCCTTATGTAAAGATTATTTTTACAAATTTGTATTGAAGGTTTTCACAATAAAATCACTAAAAAATATTTTTTTAAACAAATCTCAAATTTAAAATTTAAAAATTCAAAAATGTGCAATCTTTCTTTCTAAAATGTAAAACACTGATCAGATTGATTTCAGAGTTAATGATTTATGAGATGGAACATCCAATCAGTATCAGTTAACCAATTAGTATCATAACATTTTAGTTGATAACTCAATATATATAAATATATTTTTCTAAAAACAACCAGTGTTTCGGTAGTGACCAGTATTTTCTTTGTAGTGCTTTATCATATTCCCTCAACCTCAGTGCTTAATATTAACTCATAACATGCCTGATGTTGGGAATATTACAAGCACGTATGTTTAATGGTCAATAAAATAGTTAATTTTTTAAGAAAAATGTTCATTCATGACCATTTATAGTACAAATATTACTTATCAATTGCTTATTTGCTGTAAATAGATGATTGAAATGATGAAACTTAAAGAAACTCATTGCTTTTAAGACTTTTGGACACATTTATTTCAAAATGATGGGATTTAACTACTAACCAGTCCATTTTGTCACTACCGAAATGATAATGTCACTACCGAACTTGACCGACTGTTTCGGTAGTGACAATTCTATCTAATTTTGAGCATAACTAAAGAATGCTAGCAAGCACATGGCAAGCAAACACATCTTTGAAGAGATGTACACCCATAGAAACATAATAATTTGCATACAACCCCAAAAAGTTTACATAATTGAAGAGAATGTGTGTTTGGTAGTGACCATTTTTAAAGTTACACACTGATTTTCAGACTTTGGGAACACATTTCTTTAAAAATTATGGGATTTAGCTGCTTATCATGCAGCCATGGGGGACAGGGATGCCATGTCACTTCCTGGTCAAAAATTCAGGGGTGTGGCTTAAATTTAGGGTCAGCCAAGCCACCAAAACTCTTGTGTTTCGGTAGTGACATGAAAACAAGGGACATGATTTTTTTGAGCATAGTTTTTAATTTAAGAATTAAACCCACAATAAATCTAAGTCTTTCAACCTCTTTTTTAACTTAATCATAAAGATATTTTAAATTACACAGTTGAAACAAATCTAAAAAATGTTTTAAGTGGTATTTACATAAATTGAAATTTAGGGGTCAGGATTGGGGACAGCTACTTCTCAATAGAAAGTACCCTATGATGATTTTGTATTTATTTAGCTTATCACTATCTCATTTAATGCCCTGGGTTTAAATAGATCATAATATAATCTAAGTAAATATCCATGTCTGAATACTTAATTGTTTTGTTAAACCTTTTTTTGTAATGGGACTGCACTTTGAACTAATTCGGTAGAATGCCCCATATTGTATCCAAAAATGCAAAACAGCAATCCAATAGAGACTTGGCTATATGATCTGCGGGCAGGACAAAGTTCTTTATACTGTAGATACCTTAGAGAATAAAAGTTATTAAAGTTTTGTCAAAGGGCATAGCCATGGCTGGGGTCTAATGCTAATTTACAAAATTACCTAAAATAATTGTATGTTTGAAGTTTGAAAAGTTCAATCTTAACAGTGTCCAGCACTGTCGAGCAGAAGTTAAAAACCTAGGTGTATTTGTAGAAATGAAACATATAAAAGTTGGTGTCAAGATAGTATGTGTAAACTGCTTAACAAAAGTTCTGCTGTTATAAAGTCAAAGTTGATCGACAATGGGAAAGTATACACGTAATGTATACTTCCTCTTTTAATATGATGGTTTAACAGCTTGAAAACAGGTTAAGTAATACAAATATATATACATTACTATAAAGGTATTAAACAGACACACACACACAGACATAGATTAAATGTTCGTAGTTCATTTTCCTGCTACTGTCTTGATTAAGCTAGTTAGAAGCCAACATGAAGATTATAAGTTTTTCTCTTCCATTAAACAACTGAAAGCTAAATATAGAAAACAGAATGTAAGCTTTAGTTTAACCATGTGGCATGACTTAATGTCTCTCTACACATTTATTTCATTTTTCTATTACAGTCAGAATTCTGCTGCTGAGGACAGACGACAAAACAACCAAACTTGGAGACTTTATCACTGGAAAAGAACAACACAGGACACCCAAAACAAAGCTTTCCTCAGCCAAACAAATGGTGCAGAGTGGAGAATGGAGAGGAAAGCCTCTTACAGTTGTGAAAACTCCAGATGTTTTCAGTGTTTCTGTGGAGAAGCTGAGAGAAGAGATGAAGAAGGCTGTGAGTCTCTGTCCTCCTGGACCAAATGTTGTGCTGCTGTTAGTGAAACCTTCTGATTTCACTGAGAAGAAAAGAAAAACACTGAAGTTCATCCTGAGTTTGTTCAGTCAAGATGCTTTCAAACACTCAATGGTCATCAGCACACATAAGGAGGATAAAACAGATGTCTCTTTTAGAAGTCTCATTAAAGACTGTGGAGAACGACACTACAGTATGGCTGACAACAACCGTGATGTATTAATGCAAAAGATTAAGAAAACTGTTCATGAAAACAAAGGAACCTTTCTCACTGTCATTGAGGATTCAGTCGCCCCAAAGTCTGGTCTTATGAAAACAGCTTTGAGCCTGGTTCTGTGTGGAAGGAGAGGAGCAGGGAAGACTTCAGCAGCTGAGGCCATTTTAGGTCAGACAGATCTTCATTCAGTCTCCAGCTCATCAGAGTGTGTTAAACATCAGGGAGAGGTGTGTGGACAGTGGGTTTCCCTGGTGGAGCTTCCTGCCTTGTATGGAAAACCTCAGGAGGAGGTGATGAAGGAATCATTCAGGTGTATCTCTCTCTGTGATCCTGAGGGCGTCCATGCCTTCATCCTGGTTCTACCTGTGGGTCCACTCACTGATGAAGACAAAGGAGAGTTGGAGACCATGAAGAACACATTTGGGAGTCGATTCAACGACATCACTGTGTTGCTGTTCACTGTTGAGTCAGATCCCTCAGATCCAGCTGTTGTTAACCTTCTAAAAGAAACCAAGTCCATCCAGGAGCTTCTTCAGAGCTGTGGAGGAAGATCTTTGGTTCTAAACATCAAGGACAAGCAGCAGATCCCAGAGCTGTTGGACATGGTGGAAAAAATGCACAAAGATAAATCCAAATCATTCATCTTTTCAACACAAACATTTGCACAAGCCCAAATAGAAAAGATCACAACTCTACAGGCTGAGCTGAAGAACCTGAAAACAAAAGACCCAATCATCTGTAAGTAATATTTATTTTGATTTATACAAATTATTCTAACTTTAAAAAAAAAATGAATAACCTATTGTTAATCATACCTAAAAGTCTGTATATATACTGTACTATACAATTTGCAGCATTGAATGTAATTCTAGGCCCTCTTTTTTCACAGTTGATGATGAGAAGCTGAGTCAACAGAGTCTCAGGATTGTGCTGATAGGGCAGACTGGCTCTGGGAAGAGCTCTTCAGGAAACACCATTCTAGGTCGTAAAGAGTTTGAAGCCGAACCAAGCCAAACATCAGTCACAAAATGTTGTGAGAAAGCACAAAGTGATGTGAACGGTCGTCCTGTCACTGTGGTTGACACTCCTGGTCTGTTTGACAATAGCTTGTCTCATGAAGAGGTTCAAGAAGAGCTGATTAAATGCATCAGTCTTCTGGCTCCAGGACCACATGTCTTCCTGTTGGTGTTAAGCATCGGCCGATTTACACCAGAGGAGAAGGAGACATTAAAACTCATCAAGGAAGGCTTTGGGAAGAATGCTGAAAAGTTCACCATCGTTCTTTTAACTAGAGGAGATTCATTAAAGCAAGCGAAGAGGTCCATTGAAGAATACATTGATAAGAGATGTGATGATTCCTTTAAGAAACTGATCGATGACTGTGGAGGAAGATACCACGTGTTTGATAACCGTGATGACAAAAACAAAACTCAAGTCAGTGAGCTGATAACCAAGATTGAAGAAATGGTGAGAACTAATGGAGGCAGCTGCTACACTAATGAGGTGCTGCAAGAATCTGAAGCCACTAGAGAAAAAGAAATGGAAAGACTATTGAAGGAGAAGGAAGAAGAGATGAAGAGAGAGATGGATGAGCTTCAAAAGAAACACAAGGAAGAAATGAAAGAAAAGCAACAAGAGACTTGGGAGAAAGAAAGAAGAGAACGAACACAGGAAGATGAACAGAGACAACAGGAGGAAAAAACAAAACATAAAAAGCTCCAAGATGAATATGAAAAAGAAAGAGAGATTAATGAAAAAAAAAGAAAGGAAGAGGACAAAAACAGAAGAGAACAGGAGGAGAAGGAGAGAAGTGATATGGAGGAAAACTACAAGAAACAAATGAAGGAAATGAAGGATAAGTATGAAGTGAAGGCCAGAAAACAAGCTGAAGAACTCAATGATTTCAGACAGAAATACATGAAGGACTTCAATGCACTGATAGAGAAACACATGGAGGAAATGTGTGAGTTGAAGCAAAGGCATGAAAGACAAATGCTGGATTCAGAGGAGAGACGTGACAAAGAGTAAAATCTTTTACAACACCTCTCAGAAAGCAAAGAAATACACCTGATACACCCCACCATAAGGCAGCCCTATGGGACTAACAACAGTCCACACATTCCCCCATTAAAATACTTAAAACACCTTAACAAAACAAAACAAAGGGATTTATTACAATATGACACACTAAATGATAACGAAGATCAAAATATAACAAAAGACAATCCCTGACTGAGAAGTACAGCAGTCCCAACTCCAAATGCCTCCTGCACCCAGCACTGGCCTTTTAAGCACTGAGGCCAGGTGTACCTCGTTGTGTAATTAGTAGCTTCACCTGGGCTGGAGACAACAGAAAGGGAGAAGGGACACAGGGAAACATACAGCTGTAACACATCTAAAAGAAGGAAAATGAAAAAAATATACAAAAGCAAATGTATCTTCCTCTGATGGTTCCATCAACTCTTGATTATGATGTTAGCCGATTGAACACAGTGTGTTTTGGTTTATGTTTTTGCTGGACCACGTAGGGTTGATATATGTACAGAAACATGCCCAACAGTGTCCAAGGAGGTGACAAAGAGATTTCCAGTAGTAACTTACTTCTTGCTAAGATTCATGGATGTGATGTGATGTAAAACAAACACATGATACCTGTGCCCTAATAAAAAGTGCTCAACCAAAAACTGGGACAACGATGTCATTGTATGGAGGAAAATGTTGGAGTGCCAACGTTGCTGATGATGTGTTCTGCTCGCGAGAAATCAGCTACCAAAACTGATCGGACTCATTCATAAGGTTTTGCTGTTTTATATACTGTAGGTGTACAAATTGTAAGAGAGATGCTGCCACAAGAGGGCGCCCTGTGTATAAAACAGGCCTGTTCCTTTTTAAAAGAGCCTTTCCCTAAAAAAAAACTTTTCCCGGAAAACCACTGCTTTTTTATCTTGTTTTATGCTTTGGTTTTAACTCTGCCTGATTTCACCTGTCTTACTAATGCAATTGTTTTATATGGTTTTTACTCTAATTGATCTAAGTGATTCCTGTTTGATTTCTTCATTCAGTTTAGATGTGAATCAAACACAAAACCATTGCTCCAATTATTGTTTGTACAATTTTTGTAATTTCAGGTGTTTTGATCTTTGTATTTTGAAAAATGTGTCTTTTATTGTAAAAGGTGTTTTATGTTTGCTATAGTTGATTGTACTCATTCAAGTTATTTAATCCATTGAGAAAATGTGCATCAAGGATTCTCAGAGATATTTTGGTATTTTTTTCAAGTTTACTACATTTTATAAACACAAATGTTTCATTCCCTGATGTAAAACTTGTTTTGTTTTTCTTTGTTCTATGTCTGTGATAATTAAAAAATAATCTCAACAAAATTAAGTTTCAGACATCACCTTTATCATGGGGAAGTAAGACTCTTACATGTGATCTGACATTTCAATCAATCAAGCTTTATATATGCTCAGCACCTTTCATACAAATCAAATGCAATTCCAGGACCATCCTGGTTCATAAAGTAAAAGAGAAGAGCCAGAGGATCTGAGGGGCCGTCATGGTTCATCAACTTCAATCATCTGTGAGATGTAGTCTGCTGCAAGGCCATGTATTACTTTATAACTAATACAATAATTGTAAAATCAACAAGAACAGGCAGCCAGTGTTAAGATTTTAGAATCAGCGTCATGTGCGCTCTCCTTGTGGTCTGCGTTTTGAATGATTTGCAGCTGATTTATTGTTTTCTTTGTCGGGCCTTAAAGGAGAGTGTTACTGTAGTCTGACCTGGCCTCACTTTAGGGTTAGTCATATAAAACACCTACATGTCTTGCTTCTTGGCTTGGGTTAAGTCCAAGTGCAAAAGCATGATTATCTCTTGTACATAACGTTGTAATACAACGCATGCATGCCTTTGAACCGATGATACTTACTTCAGTTCTGGTTAGGGTTAGGTACCCTTATTTTTACAGTCTATGTGAAATATACGTTGAAACGAGGGCTGTCGCTATAACCACCAAAAATGCTGTGTAAACATGGTATTTGAGGTAAACGGAGGCAACCCCCATAACCACTAAACCTGTTGTCTACTGTAAGGGGAAAGCAGTTTCATGGATTCATGGATGTAAACCAGGATGAGAAAAAGCTGTGGAAATTCTCTGGGGAGATAGAAAGGGCGAAGGGAGACAGCCAGAAGCTCAATGTCCGAGGTGCACAGTTTCTCCCTCACGACGATCGTCGAGCACCAGCGTGTGTTTACATAAAAACACACGCCGCCATGTTGTTTCCCAGTGAGCTCACTGTCTCGATCAAGTCTTAAAGGGGGGGGAGAAGCCATCAACGTGCAGCGTGTTATCATCGTTGTTCTTATTTAACCACGTCTCAGTAAAAGCAAGAACAGAGGCAGTCCTGTACTCATGCATGTGGTTAATGTTGGCCTGTAACTCGTCCGTTTTATTACGGAGGGAGCGTACGTTAGCCAGGATGATAGATGGAAGCGGCCGTTGTTTACATGTCTCCCGTTTAAGCCTGGCTCTGATTCCTCCCTTTCTCTTTCCCCTCCTGGTTACCTTGTTATTTTTGTGTGGAGTTGTCTTGGCTGACTGAGTTATCCTGGAGAATTTCTTCTGGAAGCATGTCTGTATTGATGGCATGATGAGTTTTAAATCCGAGCTGCAGCAGAATGTCTCGTGTGAGATACTGCTTGACTTAATCACATTTAACACAATCGATATGATCACTGAGTCTTTTACAAAAAGTAAATGTGAATAGATTTGTGATAGATCGACAGTTAACGGGAGACTGGGTTCAAATTCTGGGTTGACTGAGTCAACTAGTGATGTGAAAAGCAGTTCTTTTCAGTGTACTGAATCAGTAGAATCAGTTCAGTAAAGTGATTCGTTCAAATGATTCGTTCACCGAATCGTTCAGTACTTCTCTGCAGCTCTGTCTGTGAATCAGAATTTAATAAGCTGAAACACGGCCGAACGTTTAGTTCTGCTCGCGATCGTACTGAGAACAGCCGGTGGTGAATAATAAACCAATGAGCTGAGAATTTAGTTGGATAAAGCCACAGTTTGCAAACTGAAAGCTGCTAAAACAATCACATTTATTTTCCCCGACCGTTCTGTTTAGTACGTTCAGTACACAAATCACTCACTGACTGTCTGACTGAGAAGAAGAGAGAGGAGGCGCAGCTCTCGTTCAGTTCGTTCACTGAACGTACTGAGAGGGAGCGAGAGACTCAGAGCTCCCGTTCAGAATCAGTACACACAATCACTTTCACCAGTCAGTCAATGATTTGTACGATCATTAATTAATAACAATTAAGCTGGGTGTCGCGAAAATGTATGTGCTTGTTGTTATGAAGCTTTCAGTTTGCAAACATTATCATGAATGACAATTAATTTAACTTAATATAGGCTACATGCAGAAAATATGCATGGCAACGAATATATCCTGTACCAGAACAGTTATATTTTAAATTATATAAGCAGATTTTTAAAATAATAATATAGGCTAATTTAGGCTACTTTGTCGGCAAGGGCTGCTTTATTTAAACAAACTATGATTATATATTAGGCAGCTTTGTTTAATGTCTTAACTGTAGATGTAAATGCATGGCCATGCACTGTAATTTATGTTTCTCACTTTTATTTTTTATTGTTTTCATTTTATCTAATTAAAAATAATTAATAACCTAATATTTATTTGCGTACATCTTTTATTTGCGTAGTGAAACCTAAAATATGAAAAACGGGTGGTGAAAGTGATTGTGTGTACTGATTCTGAACGGGAGCTCTGAGTCTCTCTCTTCCTCTCAGTTCGTTCAGTGATTCACGTCGGAGCTCCCGTTCAGTTTGTTCGTTCAGTGAACGAACTGAACGAGAGCTCCGCTCTTCCTCTCACTTCGTTCAGTGATTCACGTCGGAGCTCCCGTTCACAGTACGTTCAGTGAACGAACTGAACGAGAGCTCCGCTCTTCCTCTCAGTTCGTTCAGTGATTCACGTCGGCGCTCTCGTTCAGTTCGTTCAGTGATTCACGTCGGAGCTCCCGTTCAGTTCGTTCGTTCAGTGATTCATGTCGGCGGCGCTCTCGTTCAGTTCGTTCAGTGAACGAACGAACTGAACGAGAGCTCCGCTCTTCCTCTCAGTTCGTTCAGTGATTCACGTCGGCGGCGCTCTCGTTCAGTTCGTTCAGTGATTCACGTCGAACTCTCGTTCAGTTCGTTCAGTGATTCATGTCGGCGGAGCTCTCGTTCAGTTCGTTCGTTCAGTGATTCATGTCGCGGCGCTCTCGTTCAGTTCGTTCAGTGATTCACGTCGGAACTCTCGTTCAGTTCGTTCAGTGATTCATGTCGAACTCTCGTTCAGTTCGTTCAGTGATTCACGTCGGAACTCTCGTTCAGTTCGTTCAGTGATTCATGTCGGAACTCTCGTTCAGTTCGTTCAGTGATTCATGTCGGCGGCGCTCTCGTTCAGTTCGTTCAGTGAACGAACGAACTGAACGAGAGCTCCTCTCTTCCTCTCAGTTTGTTCAGTGATTCATGTCGGCGGAGCTCTCGTTCAGTTCGTTCGTTCAGTGAACGAACGAACTGAACGAGAGCTCCGCTCTTCCTCTCAGTTCGTTCAGTGATTCACGTCGGCGGCGCTCTCGTTCAGTTCGTTCAGTGATTCACGTCGGAGCGTGATTCACGTCGGAACTCTCGTTCAGTTCGTTCACTGAACGTACTGTGAACGGGAGCTTTGAGACACGAGACGGAAGAGAGGAGAGGGCAACTGAAGTTGAGAAATGAACGACTCTTTTTAGTAAGTGATTCAGTTCAGTTCGTTCACCCAGATGATTCGTTCGTTTTGAACGAATCGTTCATGACCGACACATCACTAGAGTCAACTCTGCAGGGGCTCCACAAGATGGCGCCGCTGACCGGCTAAAAACAGATGGAGGTAGGTTGACAATTTGCTCTTTATCACTACTTTAGTGTTTTTTTAATCCCAAATATCTGGTCCTCTTTTTTTTAGACGTGTATTATATAAATGTATTC